TGGATTTTCAAAAAAAATTGTTTTAAAAAATGTTTTCAAAATGTATAGGCGTGGATTTTTAAAGAAAATTGTTTTTAAAAATTTCAAAATTTAGAGGGGTGAATTTTTAAAGAAAATAGGGGTGGATTTTTAAGGGAAATAGACGTGGATTTAAAAAAAATATATGTAGATTTTTTAAGGAAAATAGGCGTAGATTTTTTAAAGAAAATAGGTGAGGATTTTTTTAAGGAAAATAGGCATGGATTTTTTAAAGAAAATAGGTGAGGATTTTTTTAAGGAAAATAGGCGTGGATTTTTTAAAGAAAATATGTGTAGATTTTTTTAAGGAAAATAAGCGTGGATTTTTTAAAAGAAAATAGGTGAGGATTTTTTAAAGAAAATAGGCGTGGATTTTTTAAAGAAAATAGGTGAGGATTTTTTTAAAGAAAATAGGCGTAGATTTTTTAAAGAAAATAGGTGAGGATTTTTTTTTAAATAAAACAGGCGTGGATTTTTTAAAGAAAATAGGTGAGGATTTTTTTTAATAAAACAGGCGTGGATTTTTTAAAGAAAATAGGTGAGGATTTTTTTTAATAAAACAGGCGTGGATTTTTTAAAGAAATTTCTAAAGAAAGAATTTTCCAAAAAAAATACGGGCCGAATTTTCTAAAGAAAATAGGCGTGGATTTTTTAAAGAAAATATGTGTAGATTTTTTTAAGGATAGTAGGCGTGGATTTTTTAAAGAAAATAGGTGAGGATTTTTTAAAGAAAATAGGCGTGGATTTTTTAAAGAAAATAGGTGAGGATTTTTTTAAAGAAAATAGGCGTAGATTTTTTAAAGAAAATAGGTGAGGATTTTTTTTTTAAATAAAACAGGCGTGGATTTTTTAAAGAAAATAGGTGAGGATTTTTTTTAATAAAACAGGCGTGGATTTTTTAAAGAAATTTCTTAAGACCAATAGGCGTGGATTTTTTACAGAAATTTCCTAAAGAAAATATGCGTGGATTTTTTAAAGAAAATAGGGGCGAATTTTTTAAAGAAAATAGGGGCGAATTTTCTAAAGAAAATAGGGGCGAATTTTCTAAAGAAAATAGGCGTGGATTTTTTAAAGAAAATAGGGGCGAATTTTCTAAAGAAAATAGGGGCGAATTTTCTAAAGAAAATAGGGGCGAATTTTCTAAAGAAAATAGGCGTGGATTTTTTAAAGAAAATAGGGGCGAATTTTCTAAAGAAAATAGGCGTGGATTTTTTAAAGAAAATAGGGGCGAATTTGCTAAAGAAAATAGGCGTGGTTTTGTTAAAGAAAATAGGGGCGAATTTTCTTAAGAAAATAGGGGCGAATTTTCTAAAGAAAATAAACGTGGATTTTTTAAAGAAAATATGGGCGAATTTTCTTAAGAAAATAGGGGCGAATTTTCTTAAGAAAATAGGGGTGGGTTTTTTAAAGAAAATAAAGGGTGAATTTTCTTAAGAAAATAGGCGTGGATTTTTTAAATAAAATAAGAGCGAATTTTCTAAAGAAAAAAGGCGTGGAGGCATCAATTCTTAGATGAAGTATAAGTATTTTTTCAAATTTATAGGCGTGTTTAAAAAAAATTAAAATAATTTTTCATAGGCGAGGATTTTTGAAATAATGTTTTCAAAATATTATTTCAAAGTTGTAGGGGTGGATTAAAAAACGGTAATTGATTCTAAGGACAATTTTTCAAGAACTGAATCATATGACCTTATAAACAAACCAGTTATTTTGTCTTCATTATGAAATTTAGCTTTCACTTGATGTCTATATCAGTAAAAAACAACAAAACATGCAAGCTAAAGTAAAACTTTTTTCCTGTAACAAATCCTGTTATCACTTCAACATGCAACAAAAAATTGCATGTACGTATACAGTTCCAATGCTCTACACAACACTCTGCCATCGGTGCAATAACAAGAAAATAATAAAATGCAAACAAAATATATAAATCAGAGCAGTAATACTCCATCATAACTGGGGCACATATACATATGAACATTTCCTATTAGTAGGTTTTTTTTTGCAATACGTCAACAGTTTCAGTTTTTTCTCTCTCCCCTGTCTTCCATTGAACAACTTTATTATATGCCATACCTTATGCCTTATGTTGTTGTTTTTTTGTTTGCCATTTTACAGGCGCTTCAAGCGGCGGAAGTATACATCATTTGAATGGTATGCCGGTTAATTACTTGCTAACTTTATTATGCTGTCTTAGCTTTTTAACGGCAGTCACAGCAACAACATCAATAACTATGATGATGACACCAACAACAACAGCAGCAACAACAACAACGCGAACAACGAGAGTGCCAGAAGTTGTAGCAAAAAGTAGTTCAGCAAGGCTACGAACAAACAGCAAATCAACCATGACGAATAGAAGAACGGCGTCAGGAACATCAACAACGCCATCACCACCACGACTACCATCAACGTCGTCGTCGTCCTCGTCGCTGCCGCCGTCGACACCAACAACACCCAGCTGTAATAGCAAAAGTTCCCGAGTCGCACACAATTTAATATCATCAGACATGGTATTCAGATAACTATGTTAATTATAATTAAGGACATTCTAAAGTGAAAACAAAAACTCCCCCTGTCCCATATCATCATCAACATCACTAACCAAACACCTTCCGCCTCCCTTCGATCCTCATATTAACCCATCTAACTCAAAAAGAAATATCAGTCCTTGTACTATATACATTTATATATTATAAAAGAAAAATAACTAACAAACTTATCTTTAAAAAATAGAAAAAAATACCAACAACAACAACTAAAAATCCATTAAATACAATGAATATTCCAATGAATATCGTGTGAATGAATGAACGAACGAACGAACGAATGAGTGTGTCTGCGTGTGTGTAAATAGAACGAATGTGGTACGTAGTATATATTTTTGAGTGTGTCTGTCTGTTTATGTGTTGGTGGGTGGATGGATACTTGAGTGAATGCTAAAATTTTTTATGAATGTTTTATGTAAATGTGTTATGCATAAATAATTTACTGTTAAACTTATTAATGATGTAAAAAATTCAATTTTTGAATTAAAAAAAGTAATAACATGGAAAATAATTGAAATGGGGTATGTGAAATATTTTGCGGAAATATTTCAAAATCAATTTCCTGGATTCAGTGCGAGGTATACAATAAATACTTCTAAATATCTTCAACAAAACTGGTCAAGTGGAGAGAAATTCGAAAGAATTCTCACACATCGACTCAAACATGAATCTGATCGGTCATTTGACGTAAAGCTTTGGTTTGGTAAGCAATTTCTTCTTTAATTTCCCTCATATTAAGAAACAGGAATTCGATTTTATAATATAATTTAATGACATTTAAGTCATTAAACATCCCACCCTTCTGCCGCAGATAGGGTTATAAAGAATTTCGATTTCCCAAGCATCGCCAATATTTTCTATTTCTATACCCTGCTCAACTATGTTGTCAGGGTATTATAGCTTTGTGCAGCCCCAAGAGTTTGTAACGCCGCGAAATATTGGTCTTAGACCCACCTTTAAGTATACCGATCGTCATATATCGACTACCGGAGTCGATCTATCATGTGTGTCCGTCTGTCCATTATATTTTGTAAACACGATACAGGCCACAGTTATGGACCAATCTTCTCGAAAATTTTCATGTAGGACCGGTTCTGGTTAATGTAGACACAGCTCGCAATTATGTCCCAAACATCGTAAATTTTTACATGGAGAAGGGGATCGGGTCAAAGAATAAGCATGCCTGTTTTGATAGCGAGTCAAATTGACCCTGAAGGACGTATATTTACCCCTGAAGGACGTATAGCGTATATATTTACCCCTGAAGGACGTAGACCCGAGAAGTTGATAGTATATACAAGAGGTGTGATTGAACTTTTAATTGATATCAATTATATTGTCGTATGTACTCGGATGTGGGAGTTACACATAAATATGTACAGGTGCTTACATAGCGCGGATCGCTATGAAATTTTCTATGAGGATTCAGTTATAGTCAAGGACAACGCCTTGGTGATGATCAGATAATAATATTGGGATGAAGTGGACCGAAAACTTTTTTTTTCGAGTCGATTTATATGCCACAATTGAAAACCGAACATTACAACACAACCCACGTTCTGAATGTAGTACCACAGAAAGTTAGATTTTCGTGGAAGTTGTGTAGGGTATCATATGGTCGGCTCAGTCCGACAATATTGCTTGGAGAAGAACGTACGCCTTTTAATACGTGATAAACTTCATCATGTTGCACTAAAGATTGAATGATCTGATCGGTGAGAGCATCAGATGTAGTGAAATTTCGTCGGTCAGCATTTTTACTTAAGCAGGTGGACATGCTATAATTTTTCAATCCGAGCACATCGTGGATTGTAATATCTTTATTCTGATTTCATTATGTTATCAATATTAGCCGTGCAAGTATTTTCCTTCAGAATCTTTTTTTAAGAGAACCCCGCCCGCGTTAATCGTGATTTAAAAAATTTAATTTTGTTTTTGTTTTATACCCTCTACCTTAGTATGGAGGGCATATTAATTTGGTTCTTTTCGTTTGTAACTCATCGAAATAATCATTTGCAATCCTATAAAGTAAATATTAGGTTTATTTAACATGCTTCGGAATGTGCGATTTGGACCATTTTAAAGGAAACTTCATAATGGCGAGTCCCACAACACCTCTTTTGTTGGCCAATTCTGGGCGTTTCTGGTCAATTGCTATCTTCAAACGGTCCAGTTGTTGAAGCAACTCATAATAAATAATCCCTTTCCAGTCCCACCATATGCATAGCAGAACCTTCCTGTCAGTTAGCCCTGATTTGGCCACAGATCGTTTTCGCACTTTGTCATCGTATGTTATCCATTTCTCATCCGTTTAAGAAATGGGTCTACCTCATTCCTTTTGACCAAGGCTTCGCAGATGGGAATTCGATCCATCCTATTTTTGTCTGTTAATTGGTGTGGCACCCAAACATTGAGTTTCTTTTTGAATCCAGCTCTGTGTAAAAGGTTTAAAAAAGTTTTATGGTCGATATGCCGGTCCACTTAGATTATTTCTACGTTTTTATCGACATTTTCGACGACTGACCTGGTGGATTTCATTTTCCCCAACCTAATATTTTAATCAACCCTGTATATTTTAAAAGTGGGACTAATCGGTCCACTCCATTTCATCCTATCGCTCGTTGCGCTGAAAATATCGCTGATGTAAGTGAAAGTATCGCCAAAGACCCGTATGTGTCGAGTCAGCAAGATGCCGCGCAACACGAGTCCTATTTCAAGAACAAAGATCATAGGATTTGACACGATCACCAAAATAAAATCTGTATAGTTCTGCTCCTAAGTGTTTCTTGGCAATATTTGGCATTTCCAGAGAAGTCTTAGGTATTTTTAGCACTAACAAAACTCAGGACGTACGACTATGTGTTGTGTTTTTAACAGCAGCGTCAGGATGTTGCATCAAATTAATGTTTGAGGAAGCGTGAAACTGACGTGTCGATCGACGCTCGTTCAAAGATAAAGATTGTCCACAGAACATTGATGGACATCATGAGTGAGGTGGTAATGCAAAGTCTTCACGTGAGATGCCGTGAAATTAAGCCATCCTAAAAAATTTCTTCCAACGGATTTGCTGCCATTGGTTAATAAATCGATTGTTAGGCTTGAAAACAATGTTTGGGGTGGAAAATTAGCCGTATGCCATCAAGTTACTTATAATGGGGCTGGACCTCTATATGGGTCCAATTATATGTGGTATGTATCCAAATAGGGTCTGTATCCAAATAGGGTCTGTATCCAAATAAGATACAGACGTGGCTATGTTCCGCTTGAACGAATTTTGTATACCCTCCACCACAGTCTTGAGGTTATATTAAGTTTGTTAATAAATTTAGCTTTAAGTTCGGCCCGGCCGAACTTAACGCCTTTTCACTTTTTTATATTAAAATAGTTTTCTGATTTGTTCCGCGTTTTGGGTTCGGTTCGGTTCTAATACTTTGTTGTAATAATTCCACCTAAGGAGGATATCGAGATAAATTAGAACGTGAGGTTCGAGAATGAACTATAACTATAGCATCTAAATTGCAGTATTTTGGGGATGTTCCATCCTATGTCGATCCACTTTTTGGGGTTTTAGGAACAATATCCATAAAAATTTTGAAATTTGTATTTGATGTATATCGGCAGGCATTCAGGCATCTCTTCCATATAATGATAATTCCTGAAGGGAAGAATATAAATACATAACAAAAATATTGGGTTCTAAATTACAGTAGTTTGAGGATTTTATACTCTACCATGCGTTATTTGTATCAGTCCACGCATGGCGGTTTTCAGATTTTAGGAAAAATACCCATTAAAAATTGCTGAAATTTAATTGGTGTACATAATGGTTTACATAAATCCGTTTGTAGAATTATCGGTATAGGTTCTTTTTTGTATTTTCCCTATATTTTCATTTCAATTATGGATGGAGGGTATCCAAAGTTCGGCCCGGCTGAACGTAACGCTTTTTCACTTGTTAATATTAATACGGTATTGTAATGCAAAAACAAAAAAATGTTCGAAATTAGTCCTCAATTAGGCATATGTCCTCATATAAGTATAACTCCAAATACTCGGTAATTCCTACACGATGTAATCAATATTGGTCCCGCTTTAGGTATAGTCTTCAGCTACGTAGGTTCCCTCAATGACAATTTTCATATATAGCCAACAATTTCCATCCTACCCTCCGAAATAAAACCTGTGTACGTTGCTGACGGACTTACATAACTGTGACCATTAAATTGCAGTATTTTGTGAATTTTTACATATGCTTCGTCAAAATCTGTCCATATTTTGGGATTTTGCGATTTTAGGAAAAATCTCCATAAAAATTGCTGAAAGTTGTATGTGGTGTAAATTGGGATTTACAACAATCAATTGGTAGAAGGTTCCCTTTTTATGCACCTTAAAAATTAAAATTTATATTCAATTTCCAAAAAAAAAAAATCTAAGACAATTTCCCAAAATTTCCCAATAATATTTCACATACCAAAAAAGAAGAGCATACTATAGCCTAATTCCAATACAAAATATGAACAAAATTGTAATGAAACTTTTTAAAAGTTATCAAAGACATGAGTGAATATTTCCCAAAAACAATTGTAAAGAGAACAAAATACAAAGAAACAATGCTAGAAAAATAATAATAACGTATTTGAAAATACTTAACATAATTCTGAAAGAAGAACTTTGTGTATAAAATAATAAAAAAAACCCCAAATGAATATTATTTTACATAACATTAGCATATATCAAAGTGAAAAAAAATTAAAAACAAAACAAATAAAAACCTCTAATACATTTCCATTTTTATGTTGTAAATTTTCTTCATCTTCATATAAAGCAACAACAACAACAACAAAAGAGAAAAAATAATGTAAACCAAAACATATCCTATGCCAAAACAAAGATATCAAAAAAGAAACCAAAACT